TCTAGTAGACCGATTTCGGCTAGCCAACTTTGTGCCGGCTACAGAGCTTTTAGGAGAGTTCTAAAAAAATCTGAGAAGCACCTCAAGCATATCGAATTCTGAGGGCAGTTCAAAAGCATTTATGGAGAGTATTCCAATAAAATTCTTTGAATAATTTCTAGTGAATCCTGCAGATAGTTCCAAGATAATTCCGATTCTTTTCCGAGAAAATTAAATTTTGAGAAAAATTCCAAAGGAATTTTGAGGAAAATTTCAAGGGAGTACCGATAATTTCTAGCTCATTCCAGGAATAATTTCTGGATGATACTGAGGAAATTGTTCTGAAACTCTAAGGGAATTTCAGTTCCAAGGTATTCTGAGTAAAATTCAAGGAGAGTTCTAAAAATAATTCCAGAAGACTTCTGAGAAAAATTTCAAAAGAGCTCATAGAGTTCATAAAATTTCGAAAAGATCCTCAAGGAATTCTGAGGATTGACTTTTTTTTGCAACTGTACAAGGTTAAGAGACAGCTTTTGGATTCCCTAATTGAAAAGTGGGTATAAGTTTGCCATTTAAGCTTGGTCTATTGTCGTTTTACTAAGAATTCGTCTAAGAATCTTCTCTGACAATTTCAAGACATTTGTTACCGCGGTTAAAAAGTTACAGCTGTTTATTTGCGTTGGAATAAATTCGGGTTTGTCCTTTATATCGTCTTTAAAACATGTTGAATGTTCGGCATCATTTTCTGTCATCCCGACTGGCGGTACTTTGGGACAAGGTTGACATGCTCAATCCTTCGCACAAGTCGTAATTCCGTAAACAATCCTGTACTCCAATCGTTACATAAAGGGTGATACGGTCAAAATTTGGTCAAGGGAAAACGCGTGTAAATCGGTGAAATCGTTTATTTAAAAAATCAAATTCAATTTCTTTTTCAAGTTCAATTAGTATAAAATTCAGGAAAAATATTCAGTTAGGCTTCCGCTTTTCCAAATCCGAATTGCCGGGCCTTACGCTTGACCCCTGCCATCAGATTTTGTACAGCCACCTTGTCCACCTTCTTCGCCGCAGAAAGCCAGTTTGCCTTGAACTGCTGCTCGCCCTTAGCAGTTTTTTTGGTCTTCTTTAGGTTCCGCTTGACAATAGCCCAGTATTTCTCAATTGGGCGGAGCTCTGGCGTGTTGGGAGGGTTCTTGTCCTTGGGAACCACCTGCACGTTGTTGGCGGCGTACCACTCCATGGCCTTTTTACCGTAATGGCAAGATGCCAAATCCGGCCAAAACAGTACGGAACAACCGTGTTTCTTCAGGAAAGGCAGCAGACGTTTATTCAAACACTCTTTCACGTAAATTTCTTGGTTGACAGTCCCGGAAGCTATGAAAATGCTGCTTTTCAAGCCACAGGTACAGATGGCTTGCCAAACCAGATATTTCTTTGCGAACTTTGACAGTTTCATGTGCTTGAAAACATCTGCTACCTTTCCCCTTCCTTTTGCCGTATAAAACTCCTGTCCCGGAAGCTGCTTGTAGTCGGCTTTGACGTAGGTTTCGTCGTCCATTACCACGCAGTCAAACTTCGTCAGCATCGTCGTGTACAGCCTCCGGGATCGCGCTTTGGCCGTCGTATTTTGTTTATCATCGCGATTTGGAGTCACTACCTTCTTGTAAGTCGATAGTCCGGCTCGTTTTTTGGCTCGATGCACGGTTGTAGACGATACACCCAGCTTATTTGCGGCATCTCGGAGAGAGAGGTTAGGGTTTCGCTTGAAACTACCGGCAACTCTCTTTGTCGTCTCACCGGCTTCCGGTTTTCGATTTCCCTCCGATCCAGACTTCCTGGCTGTCGACAAACGTTCACCAAACACTTTAATTACATTTGTAACGGTTGATTTGGTAACTTTTAGCGATTTTGCCAACTTTGCGTGCGAGTAGCTCGGATTTTTGCGATGCGCGAGCAAAATTTTGATACGCTGCTCTTCTTGCTTGGACGGCATTTTGACAACTGAAGAGTGAATTCCAAAATCAAAATAGGAGCAACATTCTACACACACACACACCTTCAAAATGAGGGGTGTTCAGGTTTTTTAAATGCAAAATTGAAAGAAATACGTCAAGTTGATATTGACCAAATTTTGACCGTATCACCCTTTATTGTTTAAGCCTTTTCAATGATTCTATTAGCCTTGGCATTTAGTTCAAAATTTAAAAAAAAAGAATTTATTTATTTACGATCACCGCCTTCGACTAAGTCGCACACACTGAACTACTTAATACTATTTTCTAGCCTTAATTCGTAAACCTATGTGAAAATACAGTTTTGGACATGTTAAAATCGAATTTGTCGTCAACTTCATTAAAAGCCCGGAGACACGAATCAAGTGGATTGTGATGCCCATAGTTCGTCCTGTGGTACGGAATTGCCAGTAGAGGTGAACTTCAGAAGCGACGAGGAGGAATGTTGATCGGTATCAGCTCAAGAAGTGCAGGACAGTCAATACCTCCTATGATGACATCAAACACGAACATACGCTGCATTTTAATTCGCCTCGATGACAGACTTTCTAAGTTGATCAATCGGCATCGGTCGGGGTAAGAAGGAAGATTTACTGGGTCATTCCAGGGAAGCTGGCGTAGAGCGAATCGTATGAATTTCCTCTGCACACGCTCAATTGCTAAGATCTGCGTCGCGTAGAATGGTGTCCATACAGGAGCAGCATACTCCAGGATACTTCGCACTAACGAACAATATAACGTTTTGATGGCGTACACATCAGTAAAATCTGAAGCATGTCGACGAATAAATCCGAGTGCAGAAAATGCTTTGGCGCTTATAATAGTATGACGGATTCCATTTTAAATTGATGGACAATGGGTCTGGTGCGTCGCGTAAACGAAATAACTTTGCATTTGTCCCTGTTCACGCGCATTCCATTATCGCTACACCAAACGAGCATAACGTGTATGTCCTCTTGCAACGCCATGCAGTCTTCTGAAGAAGTGATGACACGATAAATCTTCAAGTCGTCGGCAAAAGAAAGGTTAAAAGAAGAGAGCAGCATACACAAGTCATTTACGAAGATATTGAAGATCAGCGGCCCAAGAACACTTCCTTGGGGTACACCGGACGTGATGTTGAACGGCTGGGATTGTGCCGCATTCTCTACAACACAACCGGTTCTGTCCGACAGGTACGAAAACAACCACTGCGTTATCCATTCCGGAAACCCCATGTGTACCATTTTGTCTACGACCAAGATATGTGGTACAGTGTCGAAGGCCTTGGCGAAATCTATATAAATCGAATTAACTTGTTGTCCATGTTCAACTTCGCGAGACAAGGTGTTGACGTAACACATCAGATTTGTAGTCGTGGAGCGTTGTTTCATGAAACCATGTTGGCTGCCGGAGATTAATGAAGATACGGCGTTATACAGAACGTTATGCATCAGTTTTTCGAAAATTTTGCTCAAGCAACACAAGACAGAAACACCTCGATAGTTCGTGACTCGATTACAGTTGCCGGATTTGTCATGCAGCGAACGGTTGAATAGAGATGTTATGGGAGATGCAAGTGCGGTGGAGCAATTCTTCAGCAGCAAGGGTGGTATACCGTCCATTCCAGGTCCTTCATCAACGTCGAGTTCTTCAATGGCTTTCACCACTTCGACAACGGAAAACTGAACGTCGGGTAGATTTATGTCTGGTGAAGCAATATGGGCAAAGCGGTTGAATCGAGGAACAGGCGATGATTTGCTAAATACGCTCTCGAAGAACTTGGCGAATAGGCTTGCTGCTTTCGAATTAGAGCTAGCGATGGTTTCGTCGTATTTATGTTAGTTGGAATGCGAGTGGCCGATGTTTGGCTTCTGACAAAATTCCAGAAACATGAAGGATTTTGCTTGACATCTGATTGAATCTTAGCCATGTAACTTTCATACGAACTACAATTTTCGCTGAAAATTACCAAATTCAACGTACTCGCACTGTACTGTGGCGGAACATTGCGAAAACCTTCCGAGGAAAACCAGTGGCAGTCATTGCAGATGAGACGAGCGATTGTGGCCACCACGAGCAGTTGGCGATTGTCATCAGGTATATTAATAATGATAGGATTGAATTTCCAGTTCCATTGGCTGTCTGAGAGCAGTTTGCATTGAAGAAGATGAACCATCACCGGAGCAAAAAATAGATAAAACTAGCTAAATTGAACAGTAGGGAAACAGTGGTGGGTGGACCGAAAAAATTGTCCCTCCTTAACAAGATTCCTGTGCACGCTAGTGGTTGCCTCCCTGGTACACTACGAACGAGGTACATAGAATTTCGAATGTTGAGACTTTAGAACAAGTGTCCAACAAAATAATTAATAATTTCAGGCAAAAGTCTCTGCAATCCTCAATTATAACTATTAGTTCCCTTTATACTTATATAAGATTTAATTTTGGTTTTTATTTTAAAGATTTCAATTGTTATACTGACATGCAGGTTTAAAAAACCTGTTTAAAATACTGAATTGCCAAAAACAGGAACAATGTAAAAACACTTAGATATATATCATAACAATTAAGGCTGGTAAGTTACTGTAGTAACTGGAGCATCTAGGTCAAAATGCAATGAATTTTATTTTGAATATGGAACAAATAAAGAGTAAAAAAATAAATTACGATGCTATGAAAGCTCCACGAAAGGTATTTAAATGAAATATAAATCATCTTCGTGGAAATGATCATAAACACGCATTTTTTTAGTTTGGAATAGGTTTGATGATGATCAATAATTAGAATTTGTAATATTTGTTGTTTAGAGAATTCGACAAACCCGCTGATATAATGATTTACAACAGCCGCTAATTTGCTTTGTCGCTAGAAGTCGTTTGAAGTTGATGCAGAAGTCCTCTGTTCCCAAGTGAAATAGAAAGGAATCTTTCGAAAACCGTGATACGAGTTCCACTCTCTTGATGTGACTCTTAAACACCGACTCAACATTGTAGTTTCCCCGGTTCAAGATCAAAGGAAGTATATCACAGCTCCCGCAGATAACAGATAAGACCAAATTGACTTCAGTCTGGACACATCCCCCAAATAACGTCACAACGTACTTAATTCATGTTGAGATTGCATTTTATTGCTTCCTAAATTGTCACCGACTCTTAAAGCTTATCAGATCTTATCTTTTGTTACATCATTCAGCAAGCCATTTCCCTCCATCTCCACGCGTAATTCGACGTTGGATTTAATCTCATCTTTCCTTCTGAAAAACGGTGTCAGTAACCGCTGGTCAGTAACCTTTCCTCCTCCGGTGCAAAGACTGACGGGATAGGCCACGATCCAGAAGATCAGCAAACCAATAGGAGAGTAGTACATGAAGCTGATTCGGAATATGAAGGGAAGCTGTTCGTCTGCCATCGTCGGTGGAATAGGCGTTGTAGTTGTTGAATTGTGCAGCAGTTCGAGTATAGTTTCATCGCATCCGTCGTTTCGAAGCGGTAGGAAGTCATACTTCAACTTTCCTAAGGCAGAGATCCAGAGCGTGATCATGCAACTGATGGAAGCCACGACACCCGAGACAACACCTTTCGTGTTTGCTTTAGTCGAGACCATTCCGATGGTGAACATCCCCAGTATTGAACCGGACATGACTCCGGTGCATGAAATGGCCATTTGCACAATTGACCCTAGCTTTTCCACGATGAAAACTAAAACTATTACCAACGCCCCAAGAATCACTACGATCACCTTCATAACTGCGCTGGACGATCGATCCGTGGCATGAGGATGGCACGGGCGAATGAAGTCTTCGTAGATAGTACCGGCCAGGGTGTTCAATCCGGAAGACATCGTAGACAGGGCAGCTGAAAATACTCCCGCTATGAACAAACCGGGCAATCCTGGGATCTTGCCACCAGCGTCCATCACATAGAACGGGACAACTTGGTCCAGTTTCTGCACCTGTTTTGTAGTTATAGGATCGCACTCTTCATATTTGGCATAGATCAGTAGGCCGATGAAGCACGCCAACGAATTGATAACGATTAGTCCGACGATGTAGATTTTTAGCGAATTTTTCGCAGCATCCTTTGTTGGAACGGCAAGAAAACGTTGGATGCATGCTTGGTTGATACCAAATACCACGAGCCAGTTGGTTGTCATTCCTATGGTGATACTCCAAAAGGTTGTCCTCAGTGTAGGGTCGGGATTGAATCTGAAAAGAAGTTAAATTAATTGTTTTAAATCTTTTTTTTTTTTCCTCTGTTCGGGACCTAACACTACTGCGACCAGTAAATTGATCTATTGTAGTGTATCCCGTGTCCTTAGTTTAGTGCATGTCGTATTACTCCATCACTATTGAGAAATGATGAAGTATTCGATTTTTTTTACAGTTGCCACTCTTGCATTTATCGCAAGGATCCGACTCTAATTGAAAGGTCCCGCTATTTATACCCTTCGGAGTGTTGAAACACCCTCCAAAGGCGCGCCCCTTTGTCAGTCAAAATTGGATTCCTTAGCAACAAAATTAAGGTATGACACCGATAATGACCATGCATCAGAACCCTAGTCTTAACCACTTCAAACTAGGGAACAACGAAGAGAAGATTAGGAATCACATAGATGAAGACAACTAACTCATTTTTTTTGCCTTGTTTCAAGATCATCCTCGGTAGACAAAGCCAAGTCTTGTCACTATCAACAAGGCATAAAAAGTAACAAGGACTAAGATGTGTTCCTCCAGAGATTCTCTGCTTGAACGTCAAGCAGTACAGTTCGGTCTTTGCTCGCTCTGTCGAGTTGTTCGAAAGTTCCTAGTTTGTTCCAAACATTCGCAGTTTAATCGCGTAGTGTCGGTCGCTTCGTGACAGCGCTCCCGGAGCAGGCTCCGTGAGAAAGCGGAAAAGAAGAACAGTGATGAGTGTAGCTTGAGTGTACCTATTTCGAATAGGTACGCTACTCTTCCCACCGATGTTGGGAATACCAACCCAGTCCCGGTGAAGCGGACGAAAAAGAGGAAGAAGAATCAAGGACAGTCTGATGGTACGAGCGGACGCGACGAACGCCAGCGACATTGGTGATTTCGGCGACGCCGTCGAAACTGAGAATTCTGCCGGCTCGAGTGCGGCGAAAGTCAAGCTTCCTCCACTGGTGGTGAAGGTAGTGCCTCTCAAGACGCTCATTGGCGATTTCGCATCGCTGGGCGTTGCAGCTGAGTTTAAGCTCGGCAGGATCGGCACCAAGGTGATGCTCCGTACGAAAGTGGAGTACGAGGTAGCCGTGAAATATCTGAAGGATTCCAAGGCGGAATTCTTCACGCACGACATCCCCGGTGAGAAGCCCTTCAAGTAGTCATCAGGGGTCTACCGAATGTTGATCCCAAGGCGATCGAAGAAGAACTCAAGGACCGGTACAAGCTTGCCCCAACCGCTGTCTTTCGGATGACGAGGAGAGACGAAAACGTGAAGACGTACCCGGATTGTCTTTTCCTGGTGCACTTCCAGAAGGGATCGGTGACGCTGAATGCACTGCAGGCTATTCGCTCAATGTACTCCATCATCGTACGATGGGAGCCGTACCGTGGAGGCCATCGCGATGTGACCCAGTGCCAACGATGTCTGAACTTTGGACACGGCTCTCGCAACTGCAACATCAAGCCACGCTGCAGCAACTGCGCTCACGAACACGCCACTTCTGACTGCCCTGCGGATGGAGCTGTGGCGTTAAAATGCGCCAACTGTGGTGGTGCACATCAAGGTTCTGACAGACAGTGCTCCAAACGCGAGGACTTCAAACGCATCCAAAAACAGGCGGCAACTAATAACCAACCAGGACGCAAGAAGGACAAAGTCCCGGCATTTCGGACGGAGGATTTCCCGCCTCTTCGTGCTCCTCAGCAAAGGCAAGCGAATTCGCGGGTGCATCTCACTCAAGCAACTTCCGGTGATTCTGCTGGCCAAAGCTCTCCACCCCCCCCCCCCCTGGATTCTGGAGACAACCAACAGCGCAAAACAACAACCCCGATCTGTTCTCAGCGGAAATTTTCATCAACATGTCCGGTGCTCTTCGTAAGTGCCGCAATAAGCCCGAACAGATCCAAGTGCTCGATAAGTTCATCATCCAGTATGGCGTCTAAACCGCTAACTATCGTCACCTGGAATGCTTGCTCTGTAAGAGCAAAAAAGATTGAGCTTGCCGACTTCCTCCGCAAGCACAGCATCGACGTGGATCTTCTAACCGAGACCCATCTAAAGTCCGGCGACAGCTTCTGGTTGCCTGACCACAACATTATCCGGCTTGATCGCACCAGCTCCAGCGGGGGTGGTGTTGCGGTCGTCGTCAAGAAAGGAATAAAATACCACACTCTGTCCCATATCCGCACCTCTATCATCGAGGCCCTTGATGTGGAGGTGGAGTCATCGACTGGATACGTCCAGTTCATTGCCGTCTACTGCCCTCGACATTGTGCCGCCAGCAGTGGACTAGCGGCTAAATTCAAGAAGGACCTGACCACCATCACCCGTACCGGTTCCCGCTTCGTAATCGGAGGAGATCTAAATGCTCGCCATGAGGCCTGGCGGAACTACCAGCAGAACCAGAACGGTCGTCTGCTGTTCGACCACTCGCAGCATGGGCTGTACTCCGTTTGGTTTTCGAATGAGCCAACATTCATCTCTCCGGCGGGCAACCCATCGACGCTAGACCTGTTCCTGTCAAATACCAGCTTGTCCAACCCGGTAGCATTTAACGAACTCAGCTCCGACCACCAACCGGTGGTGGCTGAAATGGGCTACAACGTGGCCCCTGCTCCAAGTCTGCACAAGGACTACCACCGCGTAAACTGGGCACAGTTTGGACGCGTGGTAGACAGACACATCATCGACAACCCGCCGCTTAACACCGTGGAGGACATCAACCGAACGTTGGAGGGACTCCACCAAGCCATAACCGTAGCTGACGAGGCGTGCGTCCGACGAGTTCCTGTGAGGGGTAAGTTTATTGCTATTGATTCCCACACCCAACTTTTGATTCGCCTGAGAAATGTTCGTAGACGCCAGTTTCAGAGGACTGGAGATCTGGGCAAAAAATGTGAAATGGCCGATCTGAACAGGCAGATTGCTTCCAGAATGGACTCACTCCGAAATGAAAGTTCCGGGCGTGTTGTCCAGAATCTGGACGACCGCTCCAGACCATTCTGAAAGGTAGCCAAGGTCCTGAAAAATCATCCCAAACCCATTCCACCTCTCAAAGTCGAAAATGATGACGATCGGCTTTTAATCACCCCACAGGAGAAAGCAAATGCGATCGGCAAGCATGTCGCTTCATCGCATTTGCTTGGCTCGACTATCCAAAGTCCGCTCCGATGGTAGATCTTATATCCCGTAACGTACCACGAAAAGGTGATCTACCCACGTTACGGGGCAGGTTTAAATCTTAGTAATGAGGCAATGATGATACTTACTCAAACAAAAGCAATCGACCACCGCGCTGTGCTCGGTTCCACACCTCAGACCAGCCTCCAACGTCGACAAGTCCCAACGCAATGATGGCAAAAATTGCCACCAACATCAGCAAAAATTGCACCGTATCGGCCCAAATGACTGCCCTTAGGCCACCAATCGTAGTGTAAAACACGCAAATGATACACAGGATCAACGTTATCAGATGTAGATTAACACCGGAAACCTGACTGAATGCCAATGCCGGAACGTAAATAACCACCGGAATAAGGAATAGCGTGGACAGTGCATACACGAAGCTTGCAGTTATTCGCACGATCCGGTCGAATCGTAGCTCCAAATAGGAGAAGCATGAGGTCAGCTGCATGTCGTGGAATACCGGCAGGTAAATGAAGTGCATGGCCAGCCCGAGCTGTGAAAGTGAAAGAATTCCGATGATAATACATGCAAGTAATCGGATAAAATCATTTTTTTTTACTTACGACAATAGCTGAAAAAACGAACAACCATATCTGCGTTCCATAGCTGTAGATTTCCGATGGCAGACCCAACAGTGTGATGCCTGATACAGACCTATGAAAGATGAAATGAAATGTTTCAATATGATAGGATCGTCAGTTAGTCCACTCGATACTTACGTTGCTATCAGGGAAGCTGCCACCGGGAACTTCGGCATAGATTTCCCCCCGAGCAGATACTCCTCCACATTGTTCTGTTTAATTTTCGAAAAGAACCCAAAGTACACTCCAATCACCACGGAAATGGCGAGCAGAACAACGAAAATGGCATAATCGAATTCGGTGAATCGCAACATCACCTGACTGGCGGAGCTAACTGTGCTACCGACGGTGGTGATGGACATAGTTGGATCCATCTTCTTTCATGACCAACGTGAACTGATGGTAAAACAAAACTGAGAGATGGAAATTCGCAAACAGCACAGTTGCAAAGATCATTTGACTTTATTGAAGGATATCTAACGGTGATAAGACTCGTGTGCGCTCTGTGATAAAAGTGACGACCGCGCGGGACGCCATCCAAAAGCACTGATTCATTGTGGTACAATATATTTTTACGATCAATTTCGGTACATAAATTACATTCACGATTCTGAATTTCGGTAGGTTATGTATATTATTTTCAGCCAGTGGCTCCGATAAAGTTTTTCCGATTTTTCCTCTGAGTCTTGGCGGGTGTCCATTAATTTTTTACATATATTCCATTTTGACCTACTTGTGCCATCTAATCTAATAAGTCTCATCAATAAGTAGTCTGATCTAAATTTTGTTAGTATATTCTGTTGAAATAAATTGCACAATCATATATTTTCCCCTTAATGATTCCTACACAGCCTTTTAAAACAAAGATTTATATAAACGTAGCTTCTACGCGGACCCACTTCAGCACTGTGCCCCAGTTGGTTCTCCGCGATGCGTCTTGCTCCTCCTGCATAGCTGCAGAACGATCTCACCCGTTTTGATGCTCTTGAACATTTTGACCGCCTCCAGATGGGTCAGATCGTGGCAGACCTGCCCGTTGACTGCCAGCACCTCGTCGCCCGCCTTCAACCGACCGTCCTCGGCCGCTTGCCCCGTAGGTAGAATGCTTTTGATGAAAATGCCCAACGCTCCCCTAGGACTATCTCTTCCACCGACGATCGTGAATCCGAGTGATTTCTTCCCCGGTCCCTTCTCGAACGCTACCGTGTGGAACGTACACAGCGAACTCTTTGGCCTTCTCGGGAGAGTGCAAAAATTGGACATGTTTTTGTCCATGTCCAGCGAGCTGGTTCCACTGCTCGTTTCGGCATCGTCGGAAGCTCCGCTGAGTTCCAGCTTCTCGTCGTCACATAGATTCATGGAGCTCTTGGTGACCTGATCGCCATGGAACACGGGAGACTGCTTACCCACAAGGGATCGCCGGACCAGTTTGGAGGAATTGGTTGCACTGCTGTTGTTTGCTGTATTTTTGGTGAACGATCTCCGCTTAACGCAGTCAAGCGATGGCGGTTGGGAGTCTACTTCAATGCTGGGCATATCGCAAGGTGGGGATGGTGACTGAGGGCGTTTATTGGCGGTGGCTACCGAGAGACTCTTCTGGCGGCGAGGTGTCCCGAGGGTGTTGTACTTGTTGCCGTCGATTCTGGAATGGGAGGATGGGGTTTACATTAGTGAAATTGTTTGAAGTTTGTGCGGAAGACAATCAGAGAGATGCAGAGATTTTTTCCCTTGATTTGTTTTCCATCGATCTTGTTTTCCGTGCTGAGCACCAATGCTACCCGTCGCCAGGGAGGCAGCTCCCACATCTGGACTCTACCTATCGACCCATCAACTCATGAACCGGGGACCAACGGCTTTACTTCCCTTCCGAAGGCAGGCGTGATCAGAAATGTTATGCCTTAGAACATCCCGGCGGTGCCGACTGGGATTGAACCCAGGCCTGCTGCGGTGAGAGATAATCACGCGTACCACATCACTGGCTCCGCTAGATGCAGACATTGGATCAGATGCAACTCGAAGCTGAGAAAGTGTAGTTAGCTGACCATAGAATGGGATCATTCAGCCGAACGTGCGATCGCGAAAAATAGGGAGGAAAGGGTGTAATGAACACTTTAAGCAATGCCCACATTTGTTGTTATTGAATGGAATAAAATTAAATATATTTACACCAATGTAGTCGTTTTCGTTAGTTAGTGAGGTTGGTTGGTAAAAGCAGTAGTTTTAAGAGGTACGAAGGTAGGGGATGCACAATGAGTGATTGTACGTGTGATCTTCAAATGTGTTCTGAAGATAACTAGATAATTAATAAACTTATGACGCTTTATTGAAGCATTTTTATCTTATAGCTTAACAAACAAGATAATAAAAAAAAGTAAGAATATTATGGACGACATGATTGACAATTAACACCGCTACATTCATGACACTACACGTTTATTTGGTGTACTGAAAGTACAACTTTAAAAGAAATTATTTAAAGTCGAAACAGTAATTGGACCAACTTTTGGATATTTTTCCAAAAACTTGAGTTTAAAAAAAAAAATCATAACTTTTTTATCCTTAATTTTTCTATAGATGGTATTTTTTGTCCTTTAAAACATCTCAACAAATAAAAAATACAAAGAATTATTTTTTGAAAAAAAAAATGTTTTCAAGATTTTATTTGAAATTTAAAAAATAAGTTGAGTAATTTTTTTTTGGAGTGCACATTTTTTTTCAAATAGTCTCATTTATTATCTGCAATATTGCCCAAGACACCAAACCGATCGGGCAAACAGTTTTAGAGTAAAAAATTTCTGAAGATAAGCTCGATATTGTTCTATATGCCCTTTTCAAAAATAAGGCTGAATTCAAATTGGTGATATGAGGATGCAATATGGCATATTCGGTCATAAGGAACGCTTCTGCAAATTTTCAACCAAATCAAAATATACAAAAAATAAACCGATTTGCGAATTCGTAGGGAATTGCTCATGATTCAAACTTAAGAAGATTTGTTTATACCGGATTCTGGAAGATTGGTCTCAGCATGAGATTTCGGTATAAATGTCCAGTCCTAGAATGTCCTGAGTCATGATTTGCTTTGTGTCTGAAGGTTAAGAATTTCCTTATATCTTGGATCTTAAAAATCCATAAATCCTCGTAAGTTGTCAACATTCCAAATTTATGATTTCAAGGATTCAAGACCTCAATTTCCTAGCCAAATCATTCATTATTTAAATCATAGAAATGTTATTCCTCTGCTTTGAAGAGCTTTTAAGATCATAGACTTGAAAAGTTATCTAAACTTTGAGATATGTGAATATATATAAATTGAGGCTTTCCATGAACTCGGCTGTCGACAAAAGCAAGCCACTCTCGATGTGTGCCACGCGATCGTCTGTTTTCTCGGCAGCAACCATTGTGTGCTCCTCCTCATTGTTCTTCATCAGCAGTTCTTTCGGTCGATGCGTCGTCGACTTTGGAAAGCAACCGTTTCGTGATGAGTGTGTTAGTATCGACCACATTTTGCGTCCATTGCTGCAATGGAAGCGCTTTGCCCCACGATGGCGTAACTGCCATACAAGTAAACCACTGGAAGCGGCTCCAGTTCTGATGGAGGAGGCTTTTTGGATAGCGGAAGATAAAGTGTTTATTGTGTTGTACCTTTTGACTATAGTTTTAAGATGTATTGTATAGTGACCAAGAATCCTCGGCTCTGTAAAGTTAATTCGGTTGAGCCTTATCAAATAAATTAATGAACAAAAAAAATGAACAACGTGTGTTCCATTTGAAAAATTTTTACTTAACGCTTCAAAAATAAATTAAGAAGTTCGAACAACCATCTGTTGTTGATCGTCAGATTTTTGAGAAGGTGTTTGTCACAATGGATTCCTTGTGCATCAGAAATAAGTCTGGTGCAATAGCGGGTTTATTTGAAAATTTTCCATCGGTCAAATTTAAGTGAAAATTCACCAAATAAAACACAGCCTTAGTATGCGGGCAACCCCATTTAGCTAACAATGGATTTCTCAATTCTACATTTTATTCTTTTAATGTTTTCAATGGGAGAACTGTCTTGAAACTGCATATATATATTAGCTAGAAGTTTGAGAAGGCTCTGATAATCACATTGCAAGCTGAATTTCCAGATCCAAGTGTGACGTTGCAGAACGTATATTAAAAACATACTTAACAGCATTTTATGCCTAACGTCCATTATGTCTATAGTATATTATGCCAAACGTCCATTATGCCTAATGTATGTATGCCTAACGTCCGTATGCCCTAACGTATTTATGCCTAATTATGTACACTCGTTTCACTGCGATCCTTTGTTCGTTAAATCAGGCCTGCCCATCCTTTCTAAACTTGCTTTTTTAAATGTCTGTATATATGTTCGATGAACATGTTTCAAGCTGCATTTTTCTTATTTCTCATTAATTCTGGGCTAGAATTCATAATTACGAATAAAATAGAACAAGAATGATATAATTGCTGAGATCCAGACACCACGTCCAGGTCGCCCGTTGAGCAGCGTTGTGTTAGATGCTTTCTTCCTTTTCCGCACAGCAGGCGGTGGAATAGCAAGGACACTTGACGATCCGGATTTGATAAAAATGTTCAATTTATTGTTTGCTCGATGATCCATGTGGAAGGATTCTGACTGTCCTGCTTCCCAAGTAGTCTCAATATCCAAAACCGGTGGAAACGCTTGGCGTTCTTCAAATAGCTTTTCAGCAGCTACATCCACGAATCCATTGAAAGACGGTTCATCGTAATGTTCTATATTATCGTTTCAGTAGAAAACCGGAAAATCCCACACGCGCCAATTGAATTTACTCTCGTTCTGTACGTTAAACTTAACGTCGGACATAGTGCGCTGTATTCACACAATGATGCGCTATTCAGCGCACTATGTCCGACGTTATGTTTAACGTACAGAACGAGGGTAAAATCGAATGTCCCGTGTGAGATTTTCCGATGTCCAACTTGAACGACAATACTTCATCCGTACTAGATAGGGTCTAGTATAAGAGAGGAGCGGATTCAAAACAAACAACCTTGGCAACCTATGTCTAGGATATTTCTAGCAACACTGCCAATGCAATCGAGGTAGGCGTTGCTTGATTGGCTCTAGCTTTGAAAATTCGTTTGGTTCAAAATCAGCCAGTCCGCTCCTCTCTTATACTAGACCCTCTCTCATCCGTGTCATTGGATCGTCTGTTACATTCGACCGTGCGAAATAATTATCCCCTTATAGGGGAATTTACGTATTCTCGGCAACCTAAGCAGCGACCATCTTTCTATAGCCTTTTTCTCTAAGGAACGCACACATATGCAGTATTGGTTTGTTTACAATCTTTTGCTGCCAGCTGCTCTAACAATTTCAATAGAAAGAATTGTCAAAAACTGTTTTGAAACGCTTTTACAAAGCTCCAATCTTCTCTAGTGAGAGCGAGTATTGTCGGCAACTAGTTTTTCTTCGGCAACCGTTCCATTTGAACTGCGTGTAAATCTGCTGTTCTATTATCGGCAACTCGAAATCAGCTACAATTTGTAGTGCGGGTGTTGCATTTCAAGAAAACCTTGCTAGATTGCTTTTTCTAAGTGGTAAAAATATAGTCAAATTGAAGCTGAAAGCACAAAGAATCGTTTGCATGCATTCAGCGAAGTGTTTTCGTAAGAAAATCCAGTGAAAATAGTGTTTCAATTTGTGTTGCCGAAAATAGTCTGTCATGCCGAAGCCGTCATTTCCCCTACGTAACGGTTGAATGGCACTATTACAGTCATCGTGTTTTTTCCCCCACAAACTGCTAATCTTGATCTGGATTATCCCAAAAAACACAAATTATTAAAATTATGTTGAGCAAACTTCTATACAAACAAAACAAGTCATACAACACTTCTGTTCTTGGCCGGCGCCGGTGGTGTAGTGGTAAACGTGACTACTTTCTAACACCCCGATGGGTCTGGGTTCAATCCCAGCCGAGGTTGGTGGGATTTTTCTGAGGCATAAAAATCTCTGGTCACGTCTTCCTTCGTAAGGGCAGTAAAGCCGTTGGTCCCGGCCCATGTGTGTTGAATGGGTGCGATATCTTACGCAGGTGTGGAAGCTGTCTTCCTGCACATTCGATTGCCGTCAATGGATGGCAATCGATGTCCGTCGGTGATTGGCACTAGATTGCGGAACAGAGACCGACGTTAAATAAAGGAAAGAAGAAACACTTCTGTTCTTCAAATCTGTTATAGAACATAGCTCACGTCCAACGGTTGCAACTTATGACTGCAGTGGCGGGAGACACTACAGTGACGTTGGTCACATCAGCATTTTCAAGGAACGCCAAGAAGCACCGGGTTTACTGAGGTGGGACGTTCATTCATTCTTCATCATCACATTTCAAGCTTATTGCTTAATGCGTGCTCTCTACCGTAAGCGTGATAATGTTTGCACCATCGTACAAATTAGGTTCCCGTTTCACCTTGCCTTGGTTTTCTTTGTATGCACGTAACCTACACGGTAAGAAAAAAGTACCCAACGGCCAGTTCACTTTTACCTACTTTTGACTAGTTTGTCTCCTTTTCTCCTTCTAATGTTGTCAAAAACGGAGGAGCAAAACCACCCAACAGGGGTAGTAAAGTGTGGGAACCCAACGTTGAGTA